CCCCAAAAAAAAAAAAAAAAAAAAAAAACAACTCAAGATTGGGCAACAATCTGGAACATAAGGTGTGTGAACTCACTAAGGATAAGCACAGGTCAGAAGCTGAAAATCTCCCCTTGCAATGGATCTGCCTGTGTGCTTAGGGAAATGTTTGCCTTTGTTTTTTTTGTGTGTGTGTGCGTGCATGTGTGTGTGTGCTGGTATCTGACTCACAGCTTGATTCTTTTCCTGAGTTTGATCCAATCTGGGGCCTGATTTAGCACATGTACACCTAGTTATCACCCTCCTGAGAGTGTGATTTAGGGACTCCAAATTCATGCCTGTGATCTTAAATATTTGCCTCATTGTTGTTCCAACACTGGCATTTCCCGCGTGTGCGGGCATCACAGCTGAGGGGATGAAATCTCAGCTAAGTGTTGTGCTCTCCTGCCTGGAGAAGAAGATGCCTGAACTCAATGAGGAACCAAGGTCAGAGAGGGCTCAAATCTCTGCTCAGCGGTGTGTGCTAGTGTGTGTGGTTGTGTTTGTGGGTGACACACTCGTGTATGAGAGTGGAAATGTGTATTGTCTGCTTTTCTGTGTGTATTACCGTGTGTATGTTACCACGTGCATTGGCTGCTGGTAGTGGTTTAATAACTGTGCCTGTGACTAAATAAGCAACTAAATAAGTAACTAACTTTTGTTCTCTGTGTATGTTGCCATGTGTATGTTACACACTCCCATTACTGAGTGGGGTGCTTTGGTCTCCTCTGACACACATCCTTACTGGATGAAGGCGGAAAGCATGAAGCAGAAAGCATAGGAAATTTCTTATTTCATGCTCCATGCTTTCCGCCTTCACCCAGTAAGGGTATGTGTTAGAGGGGACCAAAGCACCCCACTCAGTAATGGGAGTGTGTGTGTGACCATGCACGTTGCTTTTTTCTTTTTTCTTTTAGTGAGTATATGGCTGAATATGTATGTGTATTGTTCATCTCTGTTTCTTGTGAGATTTTCAAATTGTGTGTCTTTGGTAATGTGTGTGCTTAGTGTTTGAGTTATATATGAGTGGTATGTAAGTTTTTCAGGCATGTCAGGTTTGTGTTGTGTTAATGGTGTATTGCAAGTGTGTTTGTGTGTGGATGGTACATGATTGTGTGTTATTTGTGACTTGTGTATGTGAGTGTGTATGAACCAAACCACACTGGCTATCCTTCCCTTAAGGTAGGAATTGCTCACAGGTGATTGTAAACCTCAAATCAGCAGTGTGAGTGTGTGAGTATGTGTGTGAATGCATGTGTGTGCATGTATATATGATTTGTATGTGTGCGTGGGCTTCTGATTTGCCCCTGTGACCTCAAGTACTTCCTTAAGTGATTTTCTTCTGGAGCATCAACTACTGAGATAACTAATGCCCCAGACAACTTCCTGTTTCCTGAAAAGGATCTGCTATCATTTTTTTATACCTTAGTGTGACTCAGTTACTCAGACTTATGTGAGTACTTTGTTTCACTTCATGTCCCAGGATAAGACACCTTAGACATTCTGCTGTGTGAAGTTAACATGCAGAATCACTATCAAACAGTTGTGAGATCTTGGGAAGGTCACTTCACTCCCCGGCCTCAGTTTTCACACCTATAAAATTGAAGGAATTACACTTGCTTCATGAATCTTACAGGCCCTCAATAAATATTTATGGTTTGAATAAATCATAGTGAATGTGAGTGTTTTCTGTCAATTGGAAAATGATAATTATAAATGAAGGGAACTACCTAGACATGAAACTAGGAAAATTTTGGACAGTTTTTGTTTCCTTGCAGCCCTAGAGTGCACACGGTGTTTGGTGCTCATAACTAATGAGTGGAGAATTTTTTATATAGTGGTTAAGAGCACAGCAGATTGAACTGCAAAAAGTGGCCAATATTAGATAATTTTAACCACAAGACAATGGCAATACGTAGAGTTCAAATATACAAGGAATTTATATCATTTATGTTTCTCTTTCCTAAAAGCTAAAATGGATGAAAGAATACAAATTCTTGGTGCAGCTGTGAAGATTTTATATGGGAATGTAAGGCTTGTGTGTGGATTTAATTAAAAATGTAGGTAAAGCCTTTAGCACAGTGCCCAGCACATATTACATGCCCCCCAAATGTTCACTTGTATTATGAAAGATAGTTTGTGGATTCTTCTTGTTTGGAAGCTGCCCTGGCATCACGTTATTTTAAACGACTACCCATTTCTAAAGTGTTGAATTTCCAGTGTAGCTCGACGATACTCAGTCTAGTTCAAAAGATGAGGCAACAATGCTCGGGCAGCACTGCCTCAGCACTGGCAGCCTGACAATGCTTTAATTCGGAAGCAACTGACACCTATTTGATGAGGCTCACCTAATATTTCTGCCACAGTGAATTGTCATGGCTTGGTTCTGTTTTAATGTGGTAAATCATCCCACTACGCTCATCAAGATCTAAACGTGTAGTAGGCAGGGATCTTCACCTTCTGTCCACTGTTGCATTCTCAGTCCTTAATAAAGATCCAGGTTCAGACTCAATGTTTAATAAATGATGGCTGAATGAAGCAGCAGACAACCTCTTTTCTATGCAATGAGAACTTCTTGGCTATTTTGAGGTGTAATGTCTTCATGGAGCCCGGGTGGGATAGAATGAGGATGCATGCATTCACAGGTGTGAGAAATTAATAGTATAATTAAAAATTCGTTGTTTTCCCAGAGAATTACAGTATGAAATGTGATTATCCTGATCATCCTTTCTTGGTTCCTGAGATTCCCAACCCTCCTTCATTCCAGCAGAGAGAAGGACTCTATGAGGCCTGAGAACCAGAGCAGCGTGTCCCAGTTCCTCCTCCTGGGGCTCCCCATCCGTCCAGAGCAGCAGGGCGTGTTCTTCGCCCTGTTCCTGGGCATGTACCTGACCACGGTGCTGGGGAACCTGCTCATCGTCCTGCTCATCAGGCTGGACTCTCGCCTCCACACCCCCATGTACTTCTTCCTCAGCCACTTGGCCTTAACTGACCTCTTTACTTCATTTGACACAGTTCCTAAGATGCTGATAAACATGTGCTCTGAAGACCAATTTATCTCCTATGCTGGGTGCATCTCGCAAATGTATTTCTTCATGCATTTTAGTTGTATTGACAGCTTTCTTCTCACAGTGATGGCCTATGACAGGTATGTGGCCATCTGTCACCCTCTCCACTACACCACCATCATGAGGGATGAGCTCTGTATCATTCTAGTGGCTGTGTCCTGGTTTCTCTCTGGTGCCCATTCTTTGTTGCACACCCTCCTGGTGGACCAGTTGTCCTTCTCTGCAGGGACTATCATCCCCCACTTCTTTTGTGATCTTGCTGCTATGCTCAAGTCCTCCTGCTCAGACACTTCCCTCAATGAGCTGCTTATATGCACTGAGGGAGGACTGACTATCATCCTGCAATTGACTGCTATTTTGGGCTCCTATATACGCATGGCAGTCACCATCTTGAGGGCCCCCTCCATCAAGAGAATCTCCAAGGCCTTGTCTACATGTGGTTCCCACCTCTCTGTAGTGTTTTTATATTATGGGACAATTGCAAGTGTTTACATGTTCTCCTCACCAGGAAAGTCCAAAGACAAGGACATCATTGCTTCTGTGATGTATGTTGTGGTCACCCCCATGCTGAACCCTTTCATCTACAGCTTGAGGAATAAGGATATGAAACATGCTCTTCAGAAACTTATTGGGGCCAAGGACACCCCACGATGTCATTTCTTCAGTCCTGCTGTCTTAGGCAGTCATAGAGACCATCCAAGAATTCTCAATTAACAGTTGTAACTTGGACAACTCTTACTGACAGCTCTTATATCTCTTGACATTCCTCTCCAGCCCCATTTTACATTTCCCTTCATCTTTACACTCATCTGATTGTTCTTTTGCCCCACACATGCGCTCTGAATTCTGTGTGTTAATTAATGCTTCTTCAGTGAAACTCCAAGTCCTCCTGTACCCTTAAAATGTTCACTGTAAGCAGGTAAGACTTTGGGGCTCATGTCTCCGGGCTTTAGGAAGTTTTCTGTTCTCCATTTTCTTCTATAACCCTTTCTATCTGATACTGATGCCAACACATAGTCTTCTGATTTTTCTTTTTCTTTTTTAATTTGTAATGAACTGATGATACATATTTGTGGAGTATCGAGTTATATTTCAGTACATGTATACAATGTGTGATGGTCAAATTGGGTAATTAGCATAGTCATCATTACAAAAACATAATCATTTCTCTGTGGTGAGCACATTTGATCTTCTCTCTTCTACCCATTTGATAACAAGCAGTAAACTGCTAGTTGTAGAAGTGTGGCTCAACTATACACCAGTAGAACTTATTTATCCTATCTAGTTGTTTTGCATCTGTTAGTGAACTTTTCACTATCTGCCTTGGATTGAATGTTCCCCCAAAACTTGACCTCCACTGAAACAGTGTTAAGAGGGTGGGAAATCTTATAATGGTAATTGAAACATGGGTTCTTGAAGCGGTTATTAGATTGTAGGGCCATGTCATAGTGAGTATTAAAAATGGTGGTCATGGTCACAGTTTGGATGGCTTTAAAAGGAGAGTGAATGAAGAGGTTAGTCTCTCTGTACTCTGCCATTACACCATGTGATACCCTGCCATCACTGAAGTCATCAGCAAAGAAAGCCTTTAACAGCTGTGTTCTCTGGGCTTTGGACTTTTTAGCCTCAGAAACTATAAGGAGTAAATTTCGTTTTCTTTATAAAATACCCAGTTCCAAGCAACAGAAGTGGAATAAGACAGAAAGTTGGTACCAGAGAAGTGGGATGTTGCTTATAACAAATACTTGAAAATGTGGAAGCAGCTTTGGAGCTGGGTGTTGAGGAGACGCTACAAGAATTTGGAAGAACAGGTTAGAAAAAGCCTAGATGTTGGTGAGAATTTAGAATATAAGAATACCAGGGAAAGTCTGGAATGTTTTAGAGACTGGTTAAATGGTGGTGACCAGAATCCAGTTAGAAATATGGGCAGTAAAGGCCACATTAATGAGTTCTTAGATAGGAATGAGGAACTTACTGGGAATTGGACAAAAGATCACCCTTGCTATGCCATAGCAAGGAACTGTTTGCATTGTGTCCATGCCCTAGGACTTTGTGGAAGGTGGGGCTTAAGAGTTGTGAACCAGAATGTTTGGTGGAAGAAATTTGCAAACAGCAAAGCATTCAGACAGCTGAATTGCTACTTGTAACAGCCTATGCTCAGTTATGGTGGCAAAGGCATGATGTAAAGCCAGAATTTATAATTGAAAGGGAAGCAGAGCATAAGGATTTGGAAAATTTGCAGCCCAGTCATGTGGTAGAGAATAAGAGAGCACTTTAGGGAAAAAACTCAAGGATACAGCAGATAGACTGGTTGCTAAAGACATTAGCTTGGCTTTGAGGCAGCCAGATCCTAATAGCCAAGACAATGAGAGAAAGGCCCAGAAGGCATCTCCAAATTGTGGAAGGGCACCCCTCCAATCACAGGCTCAGGGGCCTAGGAGAAACAGGTTGTTCTGGAGGACAGAACTGGGACTCAGCTGCCCTCAGGAACCTCCTCTCTGCATCCCAGCCATGCTGGCTGGAGCAGCCCCACCTCAAGCAGCCCTAACTGTGGTTTGTGAAGTAGCTCTAGAGAGCACAATCTGGAAACCTTGGTAGTGTCCATGTGGTGTTAAATTTGCAGGCTAGCAGAACATGAGAGCAGTGGAGACGTGGCAGCCAGACTTGCCAGAGGGATAGAGCTGCTTTGGAAGCCATCTTCTAGAGCAATGCCGAGCAGAAATGTGGGGTAAGAGCCCCCATAGAGAGCCCAACCAGGGAAATGTCTAGTACAGCCAAGAGAGTGGGGCTGCCCCTAGGACGGCAGAACTGCAGGGCCATTGGAAACAGGCAATGCTGGCCTGGAAAAGTTGCAGGCACCAGTGCAGCCCAGTGAGATGCTCCCAGCAGAGCCATGAGGGCAGGGCTGCCCAAGGCTTTGGGTGCTCAAACCCCACACTGTGCCGAGGATGCAGGACTGGGAGTCAAAGATTATTCTGGAGCTTTAAGATTTAATGTCTGCCCTGCTGGGGTGTCAGACTTATTTGGAGCCTGTTTTTCCTTTTCTCTGGCCTATTCCTCCCTTTTGGAATGGGAATGTGTACCCAATGTCTGTTCCACCATTATGTCTTGGAAGTAGATAAATTTGTTTTTGATTCACAGCTGGAAGGAGTTTTGCCTTTAGTCTGAGATGAGACTTTGGACTTTTAAGTTGGTGCTGGAACAAGCTAAGACTTTGGGGACTGTTGGGATGGAATGACTGTGTTATGTATGTGAGAGGAACATGAGTTTTGGGGGGCCAGGGGTGGAGTGATAGAGTTTGGATATGTTTTCCTATGCAAAGCTCATGCTAAAATCTGACCCCTAACTTGACAATGACAATTTGAGAGTAGTTTGGGTCATGGGGGCAGATCCCTTATGAATAGATTAGTGCCCTGATGGTGGTGGTGGTGGGGGGGTAGTGAGTGAGTTCTAGCTCTATTAGTTCCCGTAAGAGCAGGTTGCTTAAAAGCCCTGGCACCTCCCCCTTTCTCTCCCTTGCTTCCTCTCACCATGTGATCTGCTTGTACCCACTGGCTGCCTACTGCTTCCTGCCATGAGTAGAAGCAGCCTGAGGCCTGCACCAGATGCAGCTGTCCCAGAATCATAAGCCAAATAAACCCCTTTTCTTTGTAAATTACTCAGTTTCAAGTATTCTATTATAGCAATACAAAAATGGACTAATACACTATCCCTTCTATTCCCTCCCCTTTCCCACCTCTAGTAGCCACAGTTCACTCTTCTTCTAAAAGTTAAGCTTGCTATTATTACTATTGTTTGTTTGTTTTAGCTCCCACTTATGAGTGAGGACATGTGGTATTTCTCTTTCTGTGCCTGGCCTATTTCACCTAACATAATTTTCTCCAAGCTCACCCATTTTGCTGCAAGTGGCGGAATTTCATGCTGTTTTATGTCTGGGTAGTATTTCTTGTGTGTATATACCACATTCTCTTTATCCAATCATCCATTGATGGACATTTAGGTTGGTTCCACATGTTGGCAATTATGAATAGAGCTGCAATAAACATGGGAGTTCAGGTATCCCTCCCACATTCCTTTGGGTATATTCCCAGTTGTGGAATTGCTGGATCATATGGTAGCCCTATCTGTAGTGTGAAAAACTTCCATACTATTTTCCATAATGGCTGCACTAATACAATCCCACCAGCAATGTATCAGGGTTCCCCTTTCTCTGTATCTTCACTAGCATTTGGCATTTGTTATTCTCTATCTTTATGATAATGGCCAGTCCAACTGGGATGATGTGATATCTCAATGTAGTTTTGATTTGCATTTCTCTGATGATTAGTGGTTGAACATTTTTTCATATACCTGTTGGCCATTTGTATGTCTTCTCTTGAGAAATGTCTATTTGGTTCTGTTGCCCGTTTTTGAATCAGATTTATTCATTTATTTTTTACTATTGAGTTGTTTGAGTTCTTTGTATATCCTGGGTATTAGTCCCTTGCTGGATGCACAGTTTACAAATATGTTCTACCATTTTTCAGGTTGCCTTTTTCACTCTGTTGATTGTTTATTTTGCTGTACAGAAGCTTTTTAGTTTGATATACTTCCATTTATTAATTTTTTCTTTTGTTGCCTGTGCTTTTCAGGTATTATTCATAAAGTCTTTGCCCAGTCCTGCTTCTTGAAGTGCTTCCCCTGTGCTCACATTTCTCTGTTTTCTTTTTGTCCCTCTGTTCCTTTTTCCTCCTTTTCCTCTTACTAAGCCTATTTGTTTCATATTGTATTAACCTCCCAAGCTCCTTTTAGATTTTCCTTAAATCCATTATAACCAAATAATATATCTTCTACAGTAAGTAATTAAAATTCCAACTAATAGTTCTTGCAACACCAACTATTTTCTTGTTAAAAACATGGGCAAGTTCTGAGAACAAGAAATAATTTACATTGACTTAACATAACCTCTGCCTTACTAAAGGTTTTGGCAAAAGCAAAATATTTGACTCTATTTATTTTACTATAAAATACTAAATTATGTACTATTTTTTCCATTTCAATCCACACTGATTATCAATTTTGTGTCTACAAAATCCTTACATATTAAAGCATCTGTAACTTTTCAAATAAATGCCTACTTCACTCAAGAGATGTTCCTCCCCACCCTGCCAGCCAAATAACAGCAGTTAGATACCATCACAGCCCAGAGGAGAATTGTAATGTATGCTCCAGGAATAGACAGCATATAGACAGTGGTAATTATAAGACCTTACTAATTTGTGTGAACAAGAAACTTAAGAACATGTGTGAGAATATATTCTAAGATTGTTAGACAAAGAAGTGTGAACTATAAGGTTAATCAGGATGTTACCAGCAGCCAGGCTCGGCTCGCCCTCTCGAACTAAACAAATGACTCGAAAGTCCAAACTTTGGTGAGAGGATTGGAAAGTTTATTCTGATAACCAGCATCTGGGGGATGACCAGCCTAAAATCATCCTTCCTTATGATGCCTATTCTGGGGTTTATAAAGAGAAAGAAGTAGGAGGATAAGGTAAGGGTTTTGTCCTGTAGGAAAAAAAAAAGGGGGAGCCTGGTCACTGGATCAGTAGAGGGTCTGAGTCAGATGTCAGGGTCCCATGATGGACTGGGTGCTTTGGCATCATGGATTCTATAGTTAGTGGACTGGACTAATTAATGGACATCAGCTTCAAGCCCTGATGTTATTTCAGGGTCAG